GCTCAAGAGTCGAAGCCCGAGAGTTGAGTTCTATATGCCTCGCCCACGCGACCAACTCCAATTGCACTTCGGGTACGCGTGCGAATGGGAATCTAAAGCTTTTCAGTTTTTGTCTGGCCACGTACATATATTATATTTATTTATACAATAAGATGGAAGGATCTTTTAACTAATATTTTTACGAATATGTTTATGTTCCTGTTAAATTGGCTAGACTACATATATTATGCTACGCAAGCTCTTTATTTGAATAGTTTAATAGTTTATTTAGAATATAGCCAACTTTTTGTTCAAAGTATTTATATTTTAGCTCGCATGGTATATGTGCATATTTATATTAATTTTAAAAAATTGATAAAACGGGACATGATATACTTTCACATGATATTTCAAAACATCAATAAATAGCTTTTAAGAACATTTATATGATCTATGTCCTTATGGTAGTACATTATATTATAATAGTAAATATGTACAATCAATTTTATACATTATTTTCATTTTCGCAATTTTCAATAAAGAAACAATTCTACATGTATATTATTAATAATTTCCTAAATAAATCGTTAAATCGTTAAAACACGGATTAACTAATATATTATCTAGATTGCCTTAGAATACAATTTTTTCTCTTTTCATTTTTTTTCTGCATAACAGCAAATTTTACAAGTTTTCCAAAGTAACTAATCATATTCTATATTACTTACATGCGTTTACTTAATTATATAAATAGTACTGAGATTAATAAATTACTATACAACGATTATGATAAAATTTGCGAAATATATTGGAGTATATGTGCTACAATTATACATTTCAAATAAAATATTTATTAAAAATTGACAAAAGAAATATTTAGCAATATACTGATTTATTGTCTGTAAATTTTTTTCTCAATTTTTCAAGTACAAGGAATCATAATTATATCCGATTAACTAATTCGTAAATATTCTTCATATTAAAATTTCTTTGAATTATTTATATACATGTTTTATATACAAGTAATTATTTTTTTACCGTTATCAGTATATTTATAAAAAAAATCATAGTCCCTTCAATCTTAAAGATAAAAATACAGTTAAAAAAAAATATTTTGAGTTGAATACACTTTTATTTTCAATATTTTTTTTTCAAAATTCAATCATTAGCTCTAAATTTTTCAATATTTAAAATCTAAATTATTATACCATTTGACCTACATTATTTTATTAAAATATAATGTACGGTTTCAATATTTTTTTTCGCAAATTTATTTATTTGGAATAAATTCATAATTTTTGATACAATTAATTAATTATTATTAAAATTAATCATATTTTTTTTCATTTTAAATTAAAATTTAATTAATGTCGGTTTTTGAATGTATTATATCATCTTTCTTCTGTATATGATATAATTAATAGGCACACACACACGCACACGCATACACACAGCACATACACAAACACACACGCGCGCGCATACACACACACATATGCAAATAAATTAATTAATAAAATAATAAAAGGCAATAAATATATATACAAGTTATATATGGGCATATATTTATATATTTAATAATAGGATATTAGTGTTTTACTATGAAAATTGGATACTAGCCTTGAACATATCACAATGCAATAATCTTTTAAGCTGGGGAATAACAAACAAAACTTAGCTATAAAATCATACGGTTAAAGACACAAAGGAAGATAGAAAATAAGCAAAAATACGGAGAACAAAGGATTGTGAGGAGGAAAGGAAAACGGAGGACACCGATCTAAAGTGAGAGAGAGATGGCAATTTGTAATATGGTTTACCTTTCGAGAGCACTGTTTCATTCGTGAATCGTGATATTGTCATCACGCCCGTAAATATAAAGTTTCTCTGCAGCGAGTTCTCTCTCTCTCTCTCTCTCTCTCTCTCTCTCTCTATGCCAGGGAGAAAATGCTCTCTTTTTCAGTGTTTTAGGTTAAGTATCTTTGAAAAGATACGCGTTACTGAAATTTTTAGGGAAAGTTCGGTACTAAGAAATTAGCACTTTTCTAAGTTTATTTTGCTTTAATGGTTTTGTACTGATAACAGGCACTTATTTAGTAGATCCAAAATATGTTTAAACCATCAAATTTGGCACATTTTTTATAATAGATTTTAAAATTTAAATTATCTATGTCCTATATTAACACTATAATTCTAGTAGATTTTCGTACGAAGTTAATAAACAATGTATATTGGAAATATAAAATACATTATATACAATTAAACAAATATATAATTCGACGAATATACAATTGATAGGAAATAATATCTTAAAGTTTAATTTATATTTAATTTTAAACTATTTACATAACTTCAAATTAAATAATGAAACATACAATATATATATATATATATATATATATATATATATATACATAAATATATAAACAATATTAATATTAATAAAATAATAAATTTATTTATTATTTACATTATATGATTGAAATTTGTATGGCTTTCATATCGAAAATCGTTTATTATAATTTTATCGTTGATCAATGGAATAATAATATCGATTAAGCATACAATGATTAAACTTAATCGATGAAATAATTATACCGATTAAGCACTCAATTATTAATCTTAATCGATAAAATAATTTTATCGTTTGTTAAACGTAGCATTACATATAGTTTTTAATATTAAAATAATTAAAAACTTAATTATACATATAGAAAATAAAACACAATCACTAATTATAAAAAAAAAAATTTTATCTTTTTTTTTATAAATCATACAATGTTACTTATTATACAATTTATCGGCGCGGATCAATCGTTGCATATATTATTGACAATGATTTTTACAGTGTCACTACTCGGTAGTCATGCTGTGGATCATGAACATAATTACGCGTATTATACAATAATAATTCGTTATGCTTGATGGTATAGTAGCTTGAATTATAGCTTAATACATTATTCAATCTTTATGCAATATGCTAATATTACTTAAAAAAAAAAATATCTATATATATATATACATAATAATGTATATTGAACGTTGAATTTTTATTTGTATCGTTTACTCATGCAAATTATATTGATGGAAGTTGTATTTATGTAAAAATTGTCAACCATATTAAAATTTTATTACAGAATGTAAAATATTATCACACTATTTGCTTTATCAGTTTATATATCCTTAAATTTTTTAGTTAATTATTTCCTCAATGTTAGCTAACAAAAGTCGTAGTCTCAGAAGATGCATGAATAGTCGTTATCTTTTAAATAGAATTCTCTTCTAATAAAATGATATTAATTATAATATTCAAATAACCTAATGTATATATTTTTTTATTTAAATTGTAATTTTAAGTAATACTAATTTTTTATCTAAATGTTTTGAACTTTATAAAAAATGAATAGTATTCGACAGAAATGGCACGAAATAGCAGTATATGTTTTTTTTTTAATAATTCAGCCATGATTTTTATTAGATTATTATAAAAAATTAAATCGATGAATTTCAATTTTCAATGCAATAAAATATTATGTTAAAAAAAGTTTTGTTTAGAATTTTATTCACAGGTTTTTATAAGAAGCAATATCATTTACAGAATAATAATTCGAATTGTGGTTGTGGTTACGGAATCCTTATATTAGTAAATGTTGTGAACTTCTTAACTACGTATATTTATGGAAATTTTTAAATTTATATTTTTTTATTAAATTTTATCCGCAATATAAAATATTAAATATCCTTTAGAATAATGAATTGTGGTTCGGTATCATATACTATAATATGTTTTAAATATTAAATATAAAAGTTTAAATTTTTAATAATTTTTGAAAATATTTTCAATTACAAAGTTCAGTAAAAAGAAGTATATATTTTGAAATAAATTTTTTTCAATAATTCATATTATTTTTTTTTCTATACTATTTTTTTAGCATAATAATTATATTGTTTTTTTTCTCAAAAATAATTATTTCACAATACTCATAAGTTATAAAAAATAATCTGACAAGTAGTAGAATACTTTTTACTTTTAGCTTGTTAAATGTTTTATTTCATTTTAATATGAAAGAAAATATAGATAATAAGCAGTATGGACGTAAATAGCACGTATGTATTCTAATGTAAATATAGATTACATATCCTTTGATAATTTTGAATAAATAAAAAAATTATGTGGTTAAACATTAATAAAAAATTAATAAAAATCTTCCAAATGATTAATGATTATTAAATTTTTTTCATTATACACTTTGAACTGATTATCAAGAAATAGTTGATCCTAAAAGATTTCAGACAAAGCACAATATTCTATTAAGAAAATAATAGCTTTATGAATAAAAATTTGTAACTTATATCAGTTAATATATATTAATATTTATATTTTTTATATAAAGGTAAATGCATTTTAATATTCTAATCGCAATTTACCTTCTGCAATATTATCATTATTAACATTATAATTATTCTTATGTTTTTTAGTGAATTATCAATGATTAAACAATACATCTTCTTAAAAAGTAAACTTTAATATAAATGAATTATTAAAATGATTAAGTAATAATGAGTATATTGTCTTTACTGTTGATTGTATGTATAAAAGATTTCAAATTTATTAAAAGTTTTAAATCTTAATGTATGAATTTAATTGTCCGATTTTTAGAAATTTAGTGCACAAGTTGAAAATGATCATCATTCCAAAAAAAAAAAAAAAAAAGAAATAACAATTGGTGCGATATTAATTTAGAAAACCTAATTCTTAATTCATTCTCGGAATTGGCAATGATTGTTTTATGTTACTATAATACTTGTAACGACAAATATGCCATATTTTATTAACTTTACTCAATACGATAATTGTATCAATTAAAAAAATATGACCTGACTACATTTTGTATTTACAATGAGTGCAATGACGAATATTCCAATAATTGAATAGGCATTATCATTAAATGTAATAAGAATATGATGAAAGTATGATAAAAGCACGACACTTACCGAGCACGTTTCCTTTCCGGTTTCAGAATGCAGTGAGGATGCCGTCGCTGCTGGAAGCGCTGGAGCTGAAATATGGTGATACGCCGGCAGACAATTGTCTCACGGATGACGAGATCGAACCTCCGGTTCTTAGCGGTTCACCCCGTAGTACGGCCTTGTCAGTCAGCATTTTCATACCCAAGAAATCGCCTCGGCATACTGTGCCAGCTTTGCTCGTACTCCAGGACTGTGACATCGAGTGCGCAGGCGCGGACGACGAAAAGCTACGCAACAAGTGCAGGAACGTCGAGGAACTCGACCTCGCTCAAAATAAACTCTCCAAATGGGACGAAGTTTTCGGCATACTGCGGCACATGCCCAAGATTAAGTTCGTTAATCTGAGTTTCAACAGCCTACCTGAGGCACTCGAGGTTAGGTTCGACTTGAATCTCAGCTTTGAAAGTTTAGGTTGATTCGGTTCAAAGTCGCTTTTGCGTTTGTCATGAATCTTTTTGGCAAGCAATGCTTTGAGATCCGATGACGTCTCGAAATGCAGTCAGTGGTGGCAAACTTTTAACGACTATATCATGATCTTCAGCAAATTTAATATCAAGTGAATTTTAATTAAGATTTTTGCATTTTTAGATCGAAGCTTGAAAAAAATTACGTTAAAGTCAACTGTAGCTGAATTATATTTCTTAAATGTAAAATAATCAAATTGTTTATGAATTCAAATTCTTTATCAACTTTATATTATCAATTTTGATAGTTAAATAATATTCATTCATACAATAGAAAACCTTTTTTATTTATATTAATATTCAAGTTTTAATTTACAGACTTATAAGTACATCGTTACGCTATGGTTTATATTCGAATGAGTACATTTATTAATATTGAGATAATTTACTTTCTTCTATGTATATGAATTTTGACTTAATTTTATTTCAATATTAAATAACATTCTCAAGTTATAATTATCTACTGTTACTTCTAACAAGTTTTTAGAGTAATTAATACGAAAAGTTTTGACTTTAGACTTAAAATGTCTCTTTAACCTTTTCAGTAAGTACAATACCTATTTCAAAATATTAATTTTTCTAAGTGTTTGTATTTGAAGAGAAATATTGTTAGATTATTTCACTTATTTTTATAGATGACACGAATACACAATAATAATATAATTATTCAAATAGAAATCTAATCGTTATATTAGAGTTAAATTGTATAAAAATTGCCTGCTAATGTCTGTAGGAATTTTTTTTACTTCTGATTATTAAAATATCTGAATGCGTATGCCCAAAGTAGTCTAAATTAATAAATTTTTTAACGCCGATTTTTATTTAAGCTGATAAGAAAGCAATACCTTAACTTTAAACATCCCGATATAGATAATTCAACAGGTTAGTCAAATAAATTAAGTTGTAGATTTTATATAATTTATCTGTTAGATAATTGAAGACTTTTATACCTTTCAAATTTATCTCTTATAAACGATAGTAATACATATGCTAATTAATGTTAATGTTATACTAAATATTACTGAATAATAGTTATAAATATATTTCATATTGAGAAAGAGAATCATTCAATTCTTATTTAATTATTCTGATGACTATTTAATCATTTCAGCATCTGTAGATATTTATATATTTCTGACAATTATTGAGTACACGAGAAATATCATTAAACGAATGAGTAGCATTGATCAAGTAGTCAATGACAATGATTACAAGCTAATGTTTTTTATTTTATGCAATGAATATTTTATTGTCATTATTAACATTAATAAGATTCACTTTGAGCTTATAATTATATATTTATTGCTCTTACATTTCAAATCAATAAGTATTCAAATGTTGTAAAGTTTGTTTTTTTTTTTTTTTTTAATAATACATCAATTTATTACTGGTAAGCTACGTTTTATTAAAAAGAAGAATAAAAGTTAGAAGAATGAAATTTACAAATGCACTGATCGGAAATGTAAGCAAAGTTTATAAATTCTATAAGCCTTATTCATAAAGGATTTATACAAATTATTTGTCTCCTTAAAACTTTCAAATAATTATTATATTCAATAGATTACCTATATTTTATTAATTTATAAATTCTAATTTTTTAATTATATTAGTACCAAACAATTTGTTTGATTATTTTAGATAGAATTTTTTTTTTTTTTTTTTTTTTTTTTTTTTTTTTTTTTAATAACATTGTTATTATTTTCAATTACATATTTATGTATTACTAATAGAAATATATCGTTTAAAATGCTTGCTAATTTCTATTACGATTTTCTATTATATTTTAAAAATATTTATTTTTATTATCGAATCGCTCTAATTTAATTATTCAAGCTTAAATGAAGACAGCTATATAAATATATTAGTAGACTGCGCAAATTATAATTAAAAATTGTATATTTTCTTTGAATTGGAAGGTTAAGGATGGCAAATACGATGCACTCCGTAACCTTGTGCTAAATGGTACACGGGTTTCGTGGTCCACCGTCCAGGGTCTTGTTCGCTTATTGCGCAACCTGGAGGAGCTTCACTTGTCGCTGAACGAATACAAAACAGTAGATCTTGGCTTCGAGAAACCAGAGAACTGCAACCACACATTAAAGAAGCTTCATTTTACTGGTAATCCAATCGAATTCTGGTGCGAGATCGCAAAGCTCGGCTACGTATTTCCAAGTTTGGAGAGTTTGGTGTTAGCCGAGTGCCCGATCAGATCCTTGGACATTGTGGAGAAGGAGAGATTCGAGAACACGGAAAATGAAGATACGGAAAATATGAACCACATTGTTGAGAGAAATGGTGGACTACATCTAGAAAATGGATTCACTGGTAAAGGTGAGATTCTTACGTCATCGTCATCTTTATTAATACTTTACAAAGCTATGCATTATTTCTGAACTGAATAGTTGAATCACTAAATAATAATGTTTCATTTAGAATGTTAGCAATATTATTTAAATAATTCCAACGCAGAGAAAATAAACATTAATCTTAATTAGATAATATCTATTTTATAGAATATTTGAAATTTATTATTTCAATCGGTAGATGAAAGGATTTTTAAGTGTTTCATCAAATTTAATATTTAGTGATTTTATCAGAACACATTATCTTAAAATAATAATTCTTTGAAAGTAAAGCATTCTTCAGTGAAAATATATTTGGAAAATTATATTTATTCGTTTAATTGATGAGAATTAGTAAATTAGTAAACCATGTCTATATAATCTTTATTTTTTTTAAATACATTTTCATAGTATAGAGAAGAAGTTAAAATAAAGTAAAATTAATTAAAACATTCATTTAAATAATTTAAACTCTTCTTATTATGTGTACAAATACATTTTCTTTTTCATCAATTTTATTTTTTTCACTATATAACGTTTTTATTTTTTAAGAAAAATTGATTTCAGTTCAAATTTTGACACATTTAATATTCGTTATGAATTCACGATTATATTCACAATTAATCCTTACGTTTCTATATTTTTCGTTTATATTTAAATTAATCTTGTAATTTATAATTATTTATTAACGAATATTTTAGATGTCTAACTATTAAAAAAAAACGTTAAGAAAATGAAACAACAACAGTATTTTCCAATTTTAGGGAACAGAAACTTCGAGGAGGACGGCATGATGCCGAATTATTGTCGAACAGAGTCCGAATACAATTCGGGCAATACTAAGGTCAAATCATCGCACGATCCTTTTAGAATGCTCAGGTTTCTTAATGTTAATGGCACATTGTTATCCACATGGGATGATATTGAGAAGATCGCGCGATTCCCTGCACTGAAATCGTTGAGGATTCAAGGATGCCCCTTGTTCGAGGTAATAATGCGTTATTCATTTTAGGCGCCATTGAATTGAAATTTTCGTATATTCCGAAACTTATAAATCATTTATATATTTTCATTTAGAAAATATTCCGTAACACAGCTTAAGATTATTATAAATAGTGTGTAACTAGTATTATTATAAATAGTGTGTAACGTAATTATACACCATTCGTGACTAAATATGTAAATACAGTCTTTACTGAAATAATATTGAGCCTGGTAATCGGCTAATGCACATGACTTCTCATATTTTTTAGCTTTAAATATAAAGATGGCAGAAAAAAATATTATAGGACAACTAAGTAATATATAAAATAAGGTGACCAAGCAGTGAGCTCTCTTCACCAAGATGACGTTAATAAAGTATTATAAAAAAAAAAAAAAAAGAAAACAACGAGTAGGGAAGTCCGTCCCGATTTTACCTTTCGAAATTGTAATAAACGAAATGATATTGCACAGAGTCCACGTGAGTACACGGAACACGAGAGACGTCAATTGTTGATAGCCCGGCTGCCGAATGTCGAGACCCTGAACGGTGGCGGCGTCATCTCGTCGCAGGAGCGCGAGGACGCGGAGCGTGCCTTCATACGATACTATATGGATAAACCGGAAGCTGAGCGACCAGAGAGGTGAGCCCCGCTGACCTTTTCTTGTTTCCTAGATAGTCCTATTTTAGTTATCGCTCTTATCGCTGCACGTAAAGGTAAAGGTGTCGCACCGTGTGCGTCAGTAGCCTTTTAAGCCCGTTCAGCGCATTTAACCGTTGTTATTTCGCTGTTAATTAGGAGATTTCAGAGTCATTCGGGTTACTCCGAACGGATCATGGCTTGTTGAATTTATTTTTCATGTCTTTTTAGGGAAATGAGCTTATCAATGTCTCTTATTTCCAAATGCATGCTCATAATTACCTACTACTACAATTCACTGCAGCTTCAGCGTTTTATGAATTTATGAAAATCATGGACAATCATGAATTATATTTGTTCCTTTAATCACATTGTATTTCTTATATAAATCAGATATGCGGAATTGGTGGGTATTCATGGGAAACTCGATCCACTTGTACACGTCGATTTGACTCCGGACAAGAGGGTTAAAGTTAAATTTACCTATGGAGATCTGGTCGAGGTAAAGTTCTTTTTATCGTGTTTATTAATAAACGAAATATGATATATGTCAAAATTTATTAGTCTTCAAAAATATTTTTATTAATCAACTTCATTTCATAAATTCGTTATTTATTAACATTAATTTATAATTAAATAAGATATCAAGAATATTTCAAACTGCTCGAGTAATAAATGAGATACTATATTCGTATATTAATGGTTATACTTATTTCATATTAAAAGATTTTCTTTTAATCTGAATTAATAAATTTATTTTATAATTTTATTTTGATATATTTCTATATTTTCATATTGTATTTCATATCACATCATCCATTTCTATACTTTCATTCGGCAGCTTTTGAATAAATGATACAAACATGAAATTAAATTTTTCTACATAAATGTATGTTGAATAAAAGCTTATTATTTCTTCAATATCACATGTACATTTTTTTTACATATAATACAAAAAATTCGTAAACTTTTTAATCCACTCCTTTACAATTTTTAATAGATAAGAGATTAATTTTTCTCTTTATATATCGACTATTTAGAAATGTACGAGATAATAATAAGATAATAATTCAAATAATTATAAAAAAGATAATTACCAACTAAAAATATTACTAAGTAAATTTATTTTTCAGGTAAGATCAGTGGATGTTTACAGAACTGTATTTGAACTGAAAACTAAACTAGAATCAATGGTAAAAATTCCTGCAAATCGTATGAGGCTATTTTACATCGATCAGGTGAGGATAAAAGTAAAATTGTATACATTACAATTATACATTTATGTAAATTTATGTAATTAAATAATTTATGTAAAGTTACTTTTTCAATTATGTATATATTATATGTATATGCAATATAACAAAATAAATAGTATCTAAATAAATAAGAGAAAACAAGTATATAAGACAATAATATGTCCTTTTTATATTTAGGAATTGAGATCTCAATACGGCCCAGAAGAAATGCTGTATCCAAATAAGCAGCTCTATCGGTATAATATTCGTAACGGGGATGAAATTATTATCGACAGTAAACTGAATCGCTACGTTTCGCACCCGAACACGACGACCCAACAACAAGATCAGCAACAGTCTTCCATTCGTTCCTGAGGTCGGTCATGTCAGCGCTAAAATCGGCGCTTGTGTATCCGAAAACATAATCGTAAAATGACCGACTAAGTGAGTAGCAGCTCGATGATCCGAGGTGAAAGTGTTTAGTGAAAGAATAAGTGCGGGACCGATGAAAAAGTGATTTTGATATATACTTATGTTCTAAGTATTAACTTCGTAGCAGCTGGATTAATCACTTGTGCGCGTTCATAAAATGCCGTCCGATGATCGACAAAATAAACGCACGATTTTTAGGTAATTCTGAGGAGTGCGAAAAATTCTGTTTTACCGACGTGGTATTTGTTGGTATTCCAACAGTTTTTTAAGTTGCCTGATAATGATTTTTATGAAATGCGCTTCTTATCTTGTACTTGTATTTTATATTATTATTATTATTTAACTATATGATTATATTTGCGTGTTAGATTCATGAATTTCGAGTACCTAATGTACATAATTTTAAAACCAGTTATTTATTCATATTTACACGTATAATATGATAAATAGAATTTTCAAGTTTTACATTTTCTTTATTCCAAGTTGCATATTATCCATTGAAAATTAATATTAATATAAAAATAAATGATTTAAGGGAATTAACAATCCGAATTTGAAAATAGGGCCAACGAAATACTGTTTCTATTAATATATATTCGGTGTCTTTTCGATATAACAAATAAAATAAAATAAAATAAATAGGCATAAATTTCAACTTAAATCTTCTGTAAATGAAACAAGTAAAGCTAATAAAAATATTATGAAAGTTTTATGAATAAATAAACCTTTTTGTATTACAAAAATTTAAACATTTACGTCGCTAAAAAAGAATTTCTGAAAATTTCAACATATCAAGGTAGTATTTGACGACCGAATGATAATACGTCTAATTAGTGATTACCTTACAATTACGACTCTCTGTCTCTAATGTAAATATCTTTTAAAAAATTAAACCCTAAAGCTTTAGAAAGTATTATGTGTAGAAATATTCAACAAACATTTTAACAATATAAAAATTACAAAATTTAAAAAGTTAAAAATAAGATTTTTGTTAATAATGTGAAATCATTCGTTTGAAAATAAATATCATTTATGTATACTAATTAATAATTCAGAACTGGTAAAACACAACGAGAATTTTGAAAATATCATCAAATAAAACGATAAAGTGGACAATGACATGTAAAATAGGCCCATTATATAAGAAGATAGAAGAAAAAATTTTTTTCATTTAGTAAACAGAAGAATGCGACGATTTGCTAATCAATACAAGTACAGGAAAATTCAGTATAATTAAATAACGTAATAATAATAATTGCTTTCAGATATTATTGTTAGATATATTTACGAAATACTAAATATTGTACAAAGTTCGGAAAATATACTATCCTTAAATTTAATAAAAAGTACAGAAAATCTAGTACAAATTTTTATGGATTATGGGCAGATTTTAATTAATATATGTATTTTTGTTATATAATGTTATATACATACGTTTATATAAAGTTGAAAATTTATTCATCTACGGAATTGTATCAATAAATAATTTAATTTCGTTATATATTTTTAAACATTCTTTCGTTTGAAAAAGGTATTTAAATATACTTTATGAGAATTTTTTTCAATGATAATTTATTTATAGATTTTCTGTATATATTTATCGATATCTACAGTTGGAATATGAACAATTACTCAACATTTCATTTTTGTACATAGAGAGTGAATTATGATAAAATAATATAATCTAATTGAGAGGATTTACAACCATAGATTTTTAAATATAAATAAAATACATAATTAAAAAGAAATAAGTTTAAAGTTCGAAAATTGATCATAAGAAGAAGTAAGATAATTTCTCTATGTATGAAAATAAAGATGTAAAAGCGTATTATTTTAATAAACGCAGAAGTGAATTTTCATTATACTTATATTCGAACAATTGAATGTCATATTGGAAAAAAAAAATTGTACAAATCTATTAAATTGTAGTAAACAACGAGTACATTAATTAGTTTTATGCCTATCTTTATATAATAAAAGATTAAAATATTTTTGATTTAGTGAAATTTTTACAATCTTCATTTTCTTTAAATTAAGCTACTTGATGATTGTAAGAAGTTAGCTTTATTTAAAAATTTTGTATTACCGAAATGTACGTAAAATTACTTTATCGGTTGACATTATATGATTGATTGTAGTTGTAACATCTAAGCAATTAAGCAAAAATACTTGGAGAATTAAGAAAAGCTGAGACTTAAATATATATATTCTTATCGAATGGTATAAATAATATAGGACAAGAGAAAAAGTGAGAGAGATAATTTTGTTATAACGAAAAGTAAATAGCGTTTCTCTTGTCTTATTAAATATATAAGAAAAAATCTTAACAGTCATTTCTAGTGCCTGCAATAGCATTAAGTATATTTTTGAACTTCGATGTTTGCTTTAATGTTCCAATTAATTTTTAGTCTTACAAAATAAAAATTATAAGATTAATAATTATTATTTTTTATTGATAGTTTGCATAAAACGTCGATTGATAATTATTGAATAATTTAGGAATAATTTGTTAATTATATATAATATATTAAAAATTATTCACTTTATATATTACTAAAATATGCTAAGGGTATTATGCTAAAAATTGTTATGATGTTGTAAGATTATCAGAATGCAAAGTAATTAATATAAATTGGATTATTAGTTAAATAGATAAATGAAATTATTTTTATGTTTTACATGAAATTCTTTTATAACACTGCCCTTTGTAAATACATATACCAGATAAAAATGTGTGATTATAAATCGTATCTTTTTTTCTTGAAAACTATATAAATTAAATAGGACTATTTATATATCATTTGTGTGTGAAATCTTGGTGAAAATAAAATGGGATAAATCTAAATTTTGTTTATTTTAAAGTAAAAACAACAAGTATAAGAATTATTGAAAATTATAATCAAAGAACTATTGTAAAGGTGCGAGAAAAGAAGAGTACGACGCTAATAAATATTAAGTCCTAGAATATTAAAGAAAAGAATTCAAATTTTCTTCATACTGTAATAAGTGTGTGAACATATTCTGTATTATTTCTTTGAGAATTTTGTATATTTATTATAATAAGGATCTATTATCGAAGATATATATTTCATCTTTGTAAAATAATTTCATTAACAATATTTTAATGTTTAAATTATACGATTTGGAAAAAGGGACTTCACATTGGGATTAACTTTATTTTTACTTTTAAATATCTGTTTCTGTTTTAACGTTTCTTTAAACCTCAAATGTTTAAATTCTAAATCTGTCAGATAATAAATTATTGAACTGTTGATTAATTAGATTTTTATTTTTATATTATGTTATTATTATTGGGTTGAAAAACTATATGAATTTTTTGTTTCGTAATATTTATAAAAAATTATCATTGTAAAAATATTTTTTATTTTGTTAATTATAATTAATAATGTAAAAAATATATATGGACATTTAGATTATAATTAAAAAATAATATTAACACATAAGTGTAATTAATTGCATAGAAACATAGAAGTTCATTCATTACTACAGTAATCAATTTCAATTAAATACTTACGTTAGAAAGAAAATTTTTTTTCCATGACAAAATGTTTGTCAATGTATCGTGTAAATATATAATTATTTATTGTACTGTTGTAACAAACTTTATTTCTTTGACGTTATTATTATTTATAAGTAACTTTTATAACAAAACAAAAAAATAAAATAAAATATTTTGGTTATTACCAACAAAAATCCTTAAATTTTAATTATATTAATTAAAGCTTTAATCGTTTGAGTTTATTATATTGTATTATGTGAATATATGGATGTAAGCTATGCTTTTTGTAGCAAACAATACAAATAAATAGATACTTTTGTGATTTGTGTAATCGAATACGTAATAATATATGGTAACGGATAACTGTGTACAGAAACAAAATAACAAGCAAAGCTGTAATTAACTGCCTCAAGAAACGAACTTTCTATATGCATTCTTGATCGTTTGATGTGGTTTTTTATTGAATCATATATTAATTAAATATATGACAAATAATAGTGATACTTCTTACATATTGTAAAATATTTATACATTTTAATTAGAGCAATATATGAATAGGTTCTCTATAGTTTCAGTTAATTTACTAGATTATTTGGATGTATTTATTAAGCTCTTCCAATATTCTTTTATTAATTTATGCCAAGTCCTATTGATAACTATAAAAAAAATTTTTAATAAATTTGCTTAAACATTTTCGCATTGAAGTTTATTTATATCATTTATATAAATAAAAATAAAAATAAAAATACAATAAACATAAAAATATAAAAATATTGACGACGAAAAAATGATATCTATCGTACTGAACTAATGTATAGTTTAAATAATATTTTTAATCTCATAAAGTTTTTTGAAACTTTTATACAGAATTTTATACGTTTGAGTTGTGCATTTTTTTGTTACATCAACTTTCATTAGCATATGTTGATTATTTATTGACTTGAAATATGGTTATTCAAAAAACACTTATCCTATATTTATTCATAAATGCATTATATACAAATTAAAGTTTGTAAATTAAAAATAATAAATAATATGCATGCTATTTACATTATTATATACTATTTAAAATAATTATCGCTTATGATATATTGTATTCTCCATCGATATTTTTCACAATTTTCTACAATTCATTATCATTACATAATGCGTTAAAATAATTTATGTATAATATAATTTGAACTTGGTTATGTGTTTGTTCTCATTACTCTCATTATGTAGAATATCAAGATTTATTTGATTTATACCCGATTATTTTAATTTCTATTGATCTTAATTCATTCGATCGAATTATCTTACTTTCTCTAACAATCGATGGATTTAATGACTTTATTATGCGGGTAATAATAAACACACAACTTCGTAAAATTTAATTGTAATTCTTTTATTGGAGTAACAAAATATTTGCTATGCTTTTGTCGTTATAATAAATTGTACGTATTTATGCCATTAACATTTTGATGATCTTTTCTTTTAATTCTCATAATAGACTGTTATTTCCCTATACATATAAATATTAATTAAATATTTTTTACGGTATAAACGAATAGTTATTACTACATATATATAGTTTTTAATTTTAAATATTTAAAATAAGAAAAGTATATTTTAATGTACAAATTTTAATTTACTACGAAATCAAATCTATGACTAGAATCTGCGATTATATATTATAAAAAATCCTTAATACATATGAATTACTAAATAAATTTATAAAAAAAAAAGAGCCAATTTAATTTTGATTAAACCAAAAGAATTTGAAGACAAATTCTTAATCCGTTTAAACCTAATTGGAAATGATATGAAATACAAACGTAAGTAAAAAATAATTATGTTTTAACGAATGCGAATACAATAAAAAAGAAAGTGAATTAATCCAAGCGGTAAATTAAAATATTGTTTGTAAATTATAATTTGAGAAAATGCTGATTAACAGAAAATATGAATAAAGAAATCCAGCTAAATTAAATGTAATAATTACAGAGTTTTCTTTATAACACAGACATAAGAGAAATAATCTTCAGAAAGTATTAGCCAGTAGAGTTTTAATAAATGGGTTCTCAATTTTGATCGAATTTAATTTCAAAGGATTAAATCTAGTTTGCGTGAAAATTGTATTGGTGCGGGTGCAAGATCAATTCAAGCTACAGTCGTTGTTCGATCATTATATCTTCAAAAATTCATCATATTCATTTTTTTCTTATTGAATATCATATCTCCCCCCCCTCCCCCCTACCCCGCGGCAGCAATAGGTATTGTCTTTGATAGTATATACTCTCGAATCAACTGGACGAACATATATAAGTGTAGCTGAGCGTTGAATGATTGATAAAAAATAAAAAAAAAACTTTTGTACATATATTTTTGTATGCTTTCTATGTATATTTATGCTTGTTATTCTTAAGTGGAGTGAATGAAAATAACAGTACTTCTAAATAATTATTGCAACAGATATCTCTATTAAACAATTTTGTTTCAAATTAACTTACAATACTTGCAAATTACAAATTATAATAAAGAAATTAAACGTTGTTTACTAATTTATTATTGAATATGCATATAATATCTTTATTTTATTTATTTGCATCATTTTATTAAATTTAAAACTAAATTTAAAACTAAAACAGGATTCGTCCTAAAAATTTAAAGTTTCTCATAGTTACGAAGTAGGTATTGATTTAACGAATTGATTATATTTTTGGACAGACCATGCTAATTTTATTATGTTAAAAAATAATTGAAAATTTTGTATATATCATATAAAAGTTTATATAGTATATTATTTCCATAAGACAAATGCTATATTGACAATTTAAAATATCTATATGTATATTACGAAGTTTATTTAAACATCATGTTTCATATGAACAATCAATGGTTCAAAAATAGAAAATAAACCTTTGACTTGAAAATTAACTTTTTAAATTTGTAAAAAAAATTATATAATATAACCTAAAATATACATCCTTATTGACATTTTAAATCATTGGTACTGTAGCTTTAGCACGTATCGACGTAAGTTAAAGGAAAACAAGCGCTAAATTTAGTACATTTACCGAGTATACAATTCGCATATGTATACACCTTCTAAGTAAACAATGGCTAAAATAAAATGAGAAAACATGAATTTAAAATATAAACTATATTGGATATCAATACTGATTACAGTAATCTTTTAAATTTATTAATACGCTTTTAAATGCTAATTATTACAAATAATTGGAAAGAAATCCATGTATCTCATTAATTTATTATCTTTGTTTTATCCTCTTTAATAATGCATTAAGTAGTTGTGCAAATATGTGTAATTGTGCAATTAAAATAAAACGTCGCTTAAAAAACTTCTTTTGTACGGATTGTTCAGATTACTTTAATTGTCCTATGAATGAAAATATAATCATAGGTGATTCATTAGTAATTTAATACACTATAATTAAATATTGTAATTATTACGTTTCTGTTTTTGTTTCATTATTATGAACCTTTATATTACTATTAACGAGGCTGATGAATTAATAGAGAAAGAGAAAATTCAGTTCGTTCTTAAATGAACGGTAACATTTCATCCCATGTTCCCCTTCAATTATCGGGCATATTGCAAACGAGGTTTGCTCGGTGTGATAATTAGGTCATCGCCTCAACACCTTCTAGGTTGGAAGAACTCCATCCTGGAATTCAAGTACAGGCAGCTTTAGTCTGTCCAGCATAATCTTCATTCCAGCATTCTACGGCTTGAATAATAAAAGCCGGCTCTTGATACTTCTTCAGATGCCCCAATATGCCGTCCGGTTTTCGTTTGAAACGCGAGAGAGGCCAATCTCTTCTCTCACTCTCGAAGGGTGTTGCGACGCACACATGCCACGGACGGAAGCGGGGGTGACTCTTCGATCGATGCGTCTCGAGCTCGAGGGTGAATGACGAGGCGGAGCATGGCTTTCGTCCGTCCTTTGGTTTCGCGCTTTTTTCATTCGGAGCTTCAGCTTCAAGAATGCTTTTGTTGGAAATCCAAGAAGAAGAAATATTGGCTCTCCGCGATAGAAAAGTATGGGTGGAATGCTTATTTCACAAGATGATTGATTTTTAAATTACTGTCTGATGTAATTTACTAAAAGCTGTATTATTGATAGGATAAAGCCAAAAGTTTTTCAAGACTTACTTAAAGACCTGGCCAATATTGGCAATGGAATATTTAATTACTGAACAAATGTTTTGTTGATTGCTAAGAGGTTTAATAGACAAATGCGATAATGGTTGATACAGTATTTTTGTGAGATATAATTTTGTGCTGATTTTCTTAAAAGTCTTGAATATTAAGGCGAGGTGGTTATATTTAAATTGGGTATCGAATGTAGATCAAGAACATTTCGTCGAAGCTAAATTTATAAAACGAAATGCTAATTATGATACTTTGATAGTAAATTTTCTGATAATATTGGGGAAAATAAGAATAAAACTATAAAAAATGATTTGTTAATTTAATTATTAATATAAGATAATAAAACTGTATAATAATAATAATTTAGCGCTCATTTATTAAAATTCATTTTATGTAATTTTATCTGAAATTTTTCAATCTATTTGTCTTCTAAAATATCTAGAAACCTATAAATTTTCATTATTAAAGTTGAATTTACAGAATATTTAACATCACTAAATTATTTTACTACGTAGAATTCAAAAATAAAATAATAAATTATTTTTAAGTCTAAAAAAATAATCGAATAAAGTCTTTACGCTATTAAATGTTTTCTTACATATCGTGAAATTTCAACAATATATTAAAATAAATTGAAAAATATGAAAGCCAATGGAATAATGATTACCAATAATATATACTAAATATACTAAATATACCAAATCAACAATTAATAATTAGAAGTCTTTTAAGTAGTTTTACTTTTATCTAATCAGTAGATATTACATAATTTATGAATTTTATTCACAAATAAACGTCAATAAAAATTCCTCAATACTTACTTTAATTTCAATAAAAGATATATTGTCCATATAAATATTTAAATTGAAATTTTATTTCTATACACTTATGCGAAATATTACTCCCATTTTAATAAATATATAGATAATACGACGTTTAAATAGATTTCATATTAAAACTGCATTCTGAATATTGAATGTCGATTGAAAATAAAAAGAACAGTATTCTCAAAGTAGTAATATCACTTTGGTTTATGCTTATAAGCCAAGAGTAATTTAATTTAAAGTTTATTGTTAATAACGTCATTACTAAAATAATACCATTGGGCAAAAATATATTTGTAATAGAAGTTATTTTAATAGCGTAGCATAGTTTCCTCAATATAATACTTAATAATTAAAACTAATATATATATATATATATATATATATATAATTTTACTATTTAATTTAAATAATTTTAGTAATCAAATCACAGTGTTATTAACACATTCTAATTTCCGCTCACATACGATTCATTTGTTTGGGACGTAATGCAAATCTTATATTAAAAGGAAGAAAAATAGGGAATACTCATTTTATCGATGATATCTCGCATACGAATTCAGAAATAAACAGTGCGGTTTTACACGCGACCGCACCACGACGCCTGGCGTCGCGACGATAGAATACCCGAGCTCCGTGTAGTTTCTGAGGCCGAGGAATGAGTAGTCGTTCGATTGCCGGGAAACGATAGACTACGTACAGTCAAGCACATTTGTGTTAAATCACGTGGCCGTGCAAAAAGTTCGCGGAACATTTACAAAAGTAAATTATTGACACTCTGATTATCTTGTAATACAATAGAGCAATATAATGCATCCCAATTTTCCTCCGTCATTTGCAAATAGCGTCGGGGGATTTATCTAATAATCGATAATTAAAACTTTCGTCAACGTAGCTTCGTAAAGATTATACAAAACTGGATCAGCGTACGGCTGATTCAGTTATCATATTTACGGTTAGGTTAGGTTCTTCGATCCGTATTCATTAAAGTGAAAGTTACAAGTGAACTATGTGATAGTCAATTGATGCAGCACTTTCATGAGCCTAAATATCAATTCCATTTATACAGTTGATGAGAGAGCGAGATGAGGCCCACGGGGATGAAAAGGTGTGACGGCGCCACTGTCGATCTGAAGAAAATAAACGAGAGTGAGAAGATGACATGCGGAAACCATGTAAGTTCTTTCGCGGGGATAACGAGAATGTGACAGCGATAGCGAAGGGTTGAAAGAGGAAATTATATTTGGCACGGGGAAGTTGCAGTTGACAAATAAGGAAGGACAGAAGAGGGATACTTAAAGAGATGCTTTAATCAATGTGAGAAAATTAAATTAAGCATTGGTACTTGTAATGAAATTATGCAAGTTCATCATTTGCAGTTCATTTGAAAATTAGTTTGAATATGCCGTCAAAAAATTAAGTTATTTTTAAATAATTTTTATTGGATTACCGTTAATGAAATAATAGGATGGACGGTTGAGAAAAGAAATATTTTAACAGAAAAATTAACGATCAAACGTTTACTATTATATTTGTGATGAAAATTATTTGTATTGGTGAATCAACTTTTAGATACAGCAATGATACATACAAAATATTATGTTTGTTTTTATTTATTTATTTTTTGTATTATTTTTAAAAAATGCTTAAATAAAAGTATCTATTGGTCTTATAAATAGACACTATGTAATAAAACATTCATGATTGATAAATTCAAATCGTTATTTTATTTACTTATTGTAAATTTCGATTAATAAATTTTTCTATAAAGGAATGAACTAATAGAAAGTTACATGCCTAAAAAGTTACATTATATATATATATATATATATATATATATATATACGTATATATGAATTAGTTAAATTAAATTTTTATCGTTGTATAAACTAGTCGTCTAGAGGCTTGTAAAAGTTAAATAATCCTTTCCAAACTTCCCATAGCTTTATAACTTTTGTAAAAGCTTCGAACCGAATAGGAAATCCAAATGACATTATTGTATACAGGTCGGTTTCCCTTCACAACCAGTGCAGCACACAATTTTTAAACTAAATAGCTGTTTGATTATGCAAGGTAAGCAAATAAAGGGGTAAAAGTGTGGCGGGTACTCGTGAACCTTCGACTTTTCCCTATTTGCAAACGAGTTGGTAAGTGTCACAGCTAACGGTCATCTGAACTGTCGCAATAAACTTTGTAGTAATACTGATGAAAAGTCGATTCACCGTTATCATTTTGTCAATTTCATTTGATTATAAATTTTTTAAGGTCAAAAATTGAGCTAAACTTCTAGAAATTAATTGTAAAGGATTTTTTGATGCGACACTGGGGCCTATAATACATAGCCTATGGTAAATTAATATTATATGGATTAGATTATAACATTGATTACATTGATAACATTGATTCAAGGTAATATTAGTTAAGTATTTACTTTTTGATATAGCAAGTATATTTATGTTTAGATTTAAAAGAATCGTTTATATTATTTTTCGTCTGATAGTGTATTTATAAAATAAAATTTCATGCTATTCGTTTAAACATTCGTAAATATCTATGGCTGTTATTTTCAGTAATTTTTTGTTTTATTTTATTGTATTTAATTTGTTTTATTGAATTGTTAATAAATTTATTTATACGAAATGAAATTTATTTATATTCTTATTTATAATATATGTTTATTTTATGAGTAAGATGCCTTTAAGATTAATTTAAAAAATTATTTTTTAAAATCATATCGAAATAAATATCCAAAAATATCAATGAACATTATTATACCCTGTAATTGAATTATTTCATTTATTTTTCAAAATAATTCTATAAGTGCATACATAATAACGATATTTATTATATGTTCAGAATTATATTCAGATACTTGATAAGCAAACTTACATATCAGTAATCAGTAAGTAAAAATCTACATTGAATAGTATTACTAAAATAATAATTTTTTTGGCTTTAATTTTTTATTATACAAATAAAATAAATAAAATATACATATTATTGCAAATATCAAATTCTGTAAAAAATAGTTATATGTTATAAAACACTTAAAAACTACAATTCTTAATTGTAATTTCATAAACATTTATAGTGGTTTATTCCGTTGTCGGATACTACACTCAATGATATACTTAATAATACTGCAAGAATTTTCGATGGACAATTTATGATGTATAATAAATAACTTAATATAATGTTGAGTTAATTCTTTTTAACGTTAAATTTAATGTTACTAGATAGAAACAAGTTCTGCTTATAAAATGAATAAATATATTTTTTATTAAAAAGTAAGTTTTTGCAATGGCATCTTTTAACTTTAAAATATTTACACATATTTAAATAATTTAATTTTAATTAAGAAATTCAATTCTTATTATGTATCGCTAATCGACAATTTTCGTCTATATATATATATATATATATATATATAATATAATTAATTATTAAATCTTATACGGTATTTCATATTAAATTAAAATCTAAATTCTATGAAAATAATCTTTTCAATAAATTGAACTTATTACGACTCTCATGATTATTAAACAGAAATTTTATTTGTTGTAAGCATGTAATATATACATTAAATACGTAAGTATACAATTAATTGAAATTGTAAAAATAAAATATGCAGTCTATTAAAGCAATCAAAATAAATTTTTATTTTAACACATAACTTCCTATATTTATCCATTTGTACGAAAAAATTTCTTGAAAACAGCAAAAAACACCGATTTAACTCCATTGAAAAAAAGGCTTTTAACTTAGAATGGAAGTTGAATCATATGCGCTTTCGCGTCTCGCTAATTATGGATAAGTAAATGGCGTTGGGCCGGGGGGAGGGGAGGGGGAGGAGGGGAGGTAGTGGAGAATGGGGTGGTGGGTGGCCATAATCTAGCATGATATTAGTTCTCCGCGAACTCCCCGGGGGTCGTTACTGACAACGAAGCCGAAATCGCCTGCACCCCTTTCACGAGTACTTGGTGGGGGCGCGCGAGCCCGTCTTTAGCCCCATTCGAGACCTGGTGACGTGCTTCTTGACGGTCACTCCCCACTCCGAGCTTCGCGAGACACCTCATCGTCGCGATCCTCGCGAGCTCCCGCTCCAGATGCGCCCCAGTGCTCGTGCATGTTCCTCGCGTGCGCGCGCCGCCCCCGATCGATTGGAGGCCTGATCAGCCATGGAATAAAACCTCCCCTGAGGACACCGAATCCACACAGCCTCTGACTAGAGGCGTTCGGATTTTTGGCTTCGTCATCCGGGGCCAGTAGCAATTGGTTGGGATTTTCATCGTTTCAAATGGAGGGAACTGAAGAGAGTTACGGCTGCACTTGTGATATCCTCCTAACGACGCGTGACATTCTCCAAGACGAGACATTATTGGCTAGTTTCTTTTATTCTGTGTCGTAGGAAAATTCATCATGGTAATGTTTCGCATGCTTTACGATACGGCTGTTCGTGCACCATAGCTATGTAGTTTCATTTTGAGGATGGCCTATTGGGTTTTACAGTAGTTCGTGTTCGGTTATTGAATCTTTTTTTGTTTTTTAAATAGTGTTCTGTTATATTACGTAGAAAGTGTCTTATGACACGTGTGAGGTGAAGTTCCAATAATAGGTATGGAGCTGCAGAAAGTATGTTTTCATCGGTGCACCTCTTGTGAATTGGATGTTGGAATATGGTGATTTTCAATATATATATATATATATTAGAATTACGAAAAAACATTTTCACTAGCCAAGCTGTTTTTTGCTATATACAACTGAATTTTAATTGAATGCACTGCATTCAATTTATTTAAATAATGAATATTCGAATATTATACATTCATTCAATTTTATGAATTTATCTATAATCTAGTGTGACAAAAAGCTTATAATGTCGTAAATGGGTATTATAATTATACACGTGAATTCCTTTTTAATCAATATTTATATGAAAATAAATATACTCTAGCCATTTAAAAATTTATTGTATTACAATTGAAAATATATTATATCCATTACATAATTATGAAAATAATTATTGAAAAAAGTTTAGAAAAGTTTTACTGTCACTAAATTATAATGAAATTGTATTTTTATAAAGTTTATAATAAAACCTAATTCAAATTAGTATATAATGTTTTTCAATTTAATGAATAAAAAAAGATTTTATGTTTAACTTCTATTTAATATAATAATTATATAATAATTTAATGGGATTAGATATTTTAAATATACATTAGCTTCACTTAATGTGAATGAAGAGATAATTTATATATTTATTTAACGTCAACTTCATTTGAATATTAAAATTTTAATTCTTTTAGAATTCCAAATTGTAATAAAAATTTAAGAAATTCTAAATTACTGAAGTTACAATTTTTATTTAAAAATGTTTATTCGCTGCTATTTTTGTTTTTTAAAACAATGATTAACTTAATAATAATTCTAAAATAAATGAATTTATATTATACTTATCGAACCTTAAAATAATTTTATTTAATATTGAATTAAATAGAGGTATTAATTATAACATTAATCACAAATAAATTTTGTTAAAATTTTTATTAAAATATTTCTTACTATATTTAAACGATTAAATTCCTTTGTGGTTATGAAAATAATCTTATTTACATTGAGATTTTCGAAGTATAAAAAAATTTACATAAATTTCCAGTATTCAAAATTACTGCAGAGTTAATTATCAGTAAATTATAAATAATCCATATCATATAAAGTTGTTAATTGATATGTTCAATTCGTATTTAATAAATAAAATATTTCAGTTTGATTCTTCTAAATGATACAGAGTTAATTTTTTATTAATTTATAATTTTTACCTCTTTGAATAATTTTAAATAATCATTTGTATTGATTTAATTTACTTTATATTCTTAATAAAATTAAATTTTGTATAATAAAATATTTTCATATAATTTTGTAGAAGTATAGAAAAAAATATTAAAAATACAAAAGTATAACCAAAATTACTTTGGCTACGTAGAATTTTCTAAATACTTTATTTTTATTAAATTTGTTTTTAAGTTTTATTATAATAACATTTTATTACGTATTATTATATATACTTGCATACATATATGTGTATATAGTTATTGTTAGTTTGATACTAACAATGAAAATTGATTTTATTATTCAAATGAAACGTATATATCTAGTTCTAAACTTATTAACA